CTTCTAATTTGGTGTAGGCATCATATCTTGACATCCCTATTTGTCCTGCCTTCTACAATGTTAACGGACGCTGCGTACTCAGGGTCATAGCATTATTGCGTACTTCCCCTGAATTACTCGTTTGGATCAATCCACATAGCAATATACAACGTCTGACGACATCCCTCTTCCCTGGTAGGCTTTTTCGTATTACAATAATTGCCACTGCCCTTGCAGGGAAGTGTCAGCAGGTCGCACAGCTACGAATTATTTAGAAGGGAAAGTTACTCGTTGTTTACACTATACTGATCCCCCATCCAGTCTCTTGTTGCTTTGAAGCCAGCATCCTCCCCTCATCCTTCTCTTTACATTAGGTACCACTTTTGTGGACCGGGTATTTTTCTACGCGCAGCTGCAGTCATGGTTATGTCAGTATGAGGCAAGTCGCTGTTCTCCGAGTGCAGAAGTAGGCCAGGTTACTGCTCTGGGGGTGCGCGACCAGATGTTTGCGCGGACGAGCGAGCTGTCCAGTAGGACTCCTTCCTCCTTTTTCCTCTGCCAATGATTTGCCTGGTAGTCCTGCCTGAACATCCAGCGACAAGTACAGTTATGCAGTCACAAAAGTCCGTTGAATAAAAATAATAATTGTTGGTATGTAGTCTACTGCCAAGGCATGTTGTCGGATATGGATGACATTACACCACCATGTTGGGAAGCCAAGACCCTACATGAGCAGCCACTTGTTGTATCCTTTTTCTCACCACGATTCAGGAGAAAGGTGTTCGCCTATTGTTCTCATCCTCTCACTCGATTCCGTTTTGTGGGTTTCTGCAAGATGCAAGACAATGTGTGCATAGTGTGGCTCATAAGTGGCTGGCTGTGGCATGTACTCTCGCCAGCACCAACAGCGGCAGCAAAATAGAATGTATTCAATTTTACTATCCACCATGCGTGTGAATTGGATCGGTTTGACCTGAAACGCTAAACCCGGCACATTATGATTCTGCGGGTGCGGGAAAGGCACAGCAATGTGCTCTAGCAATAGCATTTCTGTACTTTGTTTGACGCCATTCCTTTTCTTACTTATCCCAATATACGTGCATAAATGTCGACAGAACCCCAATTGCGAAAAGTGCATTAACGCTTTTAAGCCTCAAAAATACACCACTATGCTGTTGCTGCTATTGGATGTGAATACAGAAAATACACTAGTTACAGCGAAGGATAATAAAATAAATACGCATTCTTTATCTTCAAAACAAGCACAATGCAACATACACTGCATATATATGTGCGCCATTGGATTATGGAGAAGCAAAACGCTAAAGCTGTCAAATAAGTAAACATGCTACTTTGACGCTCTTCACTCAATAATCGAAAACTATCTGTGAGATCAGATACTCCAAAACATCCTATTCTTATTTTAAACTAGTCGCATGGTCTGAAAATAGAAGCAGATGCAGGTGGCGCCGCTGCGGACCATATTTCTGCTGCAATAGACATGCTTTGCAACTAAAAGCGAGTGAGAAGGAAGAGGAAGAATGAGTAGCGCTGAACTCCATAGATAAAAGCTATCATCCCCATATTCGGCAGAAATTCGGATTAGAATAACAGAGCGAGGCTAATAGTTCCATACACACTTGCATTAATCCACAATTGAAATCCAAAAACGGGATAGTGTTTACTGTGACCTCTAAATAAATATAAGCAAAATGGTAGGTTAAAATAGGCAAAAGTGAGGCTAAGCTAATGCTGCTATTTAGAATGTTTTGTTTTTTTTTTACTTTTCTGCCGTTTCAACTTCACAGTCCATTACTTGGTCTACGAAAATATTTGATGTTCGATAATGTGTAGCTTTGGTTTTTTTTTTTAAAAAAAAATTTATATTTACAAGAATAAAAACGTCAAGAAAATATACGACAGAATAAATTTCTGCAAAATATACAAGCTAAAAACAAACATTTCACACTAACTGCTGTTTTAGCAAACCATGCGCTTTATTATGTTAATTTACATGAGTACTTTCCTTGAACTTCTTGGTTTAGATTACTTTACTCAACTCTTCAAATTGCTGAAGAGTTTCTGCTACTGGCCGACAACGCAAAAAAGAAAATAGAAAAAGCCTCCACCACTGTTTACCCTTTCAATATGCACACAATTACCCAACAGTTGGCAAAGAGCTTGTGATGGCATGGTCCGCGGTCCTCCCATACAAAATTGCAATTACGATGAGTGCTATTTTTGTGGTCAGATGATCCATTGTATTATATATTTCAAAAAAGAAAAAAAAAACCTCGGCAGAAAATTGTTTGTTGATGGATTACAAGTATTGAAATCGAGCTCAGCCTCCATGTTTATCGGTCCACATAAGACCTTAGATTCGAAGAATGAATATAAGTCGCCGTCGCCACTAAACGTGTTTTGTACAGCCGTTATGCCAGCTACTTGGGGCAAGATTTTTTTTTTTTAGCAATAGTCTAAACGTAATCGGGAAAAGAACAATAGTTTGTACTTTCTTTTGTAACTTCAAGAGGGACATTGCTCAATTTCGTTTCTTAACGGGTTGGTAGCAGGGGAAAAGCAGAACACTGGTGGTCATATGCCTTTTTTCTAGCCCAAATAAACAAAACACTAACAATGGATAATGTGCTTCTTGTTTGCATCGGGCTATTTTTTTGCGCAAGACCACCTTTTCAAAGCAAAAGACATACATGGCATTTTAAATGGCAAAATGCTGTATACACTGTGGCAACAAATATGTATGTGTGATTTTTTAATTCGCTTGTCCACATTTGGAACATATGGAAGGTAGCACAAGACGCAGACAAACTTGTCAACGCATGAAGGTTTATACGTCTTTCTGGCATTGTAGCAAGATTTACACTGGCCGCCATAGTCAACAGTGACGTCTCAACATGCAAAAAAAAAAAAAAAAAAAAAAGGAAAGTGTGTTAAACAAGTGAGTGAGTGAGTAGGCAAGACCGAACACCACACACCTTTTTTAAGAATGGGATGTCAGACGATTGGTTAGCCTGAACACAAATGTCCATATATGGATAGCATAAAAAAGGACTTTGTCTTTCTTAAGCAAAAAGCCCTTGTCATGAAAATTCAGCCATTGGATAAACCCACATTGAAAGGGGGAAAAGGCAACTCTCACGTTGTGCAAAACGGGACTCTACATCGACCCCGCGGCAATGAATAACCCACACCGAGCAATAATCCTTTATTTTTTTTTGTGGCGATCAACCCATGTCATTGGTCTCCAGCACATCCATGCGTTTTCTATCGGCAAAAACCATTGAGAATCCCGTTTTCCCCCTTATTAATCAAAAATATAAACCGGTCTTTCTTTTTGTTGTTGAACTCTAGGACCGAATAAGCCGAATAACCGAGTACATAGCCCTAATTGACAAGATTTACGCTTCTCAATTTTTCCTGCAATACATAAACACGCAATAAACACATGGAGGCAAATCGCAAGCACTCAAGGGCAATTGCAAAAAGTCTGTACACACGACAGTCTTTAATTGTTCGTGTGTGACAATCTGTTTGTCTAAAGACCATTGCACCCTTGTTCTCCGCATTTGATCTACAGCTCCTATCTCGCGGAACACATTCTTTCTTCTAAATGGGCAGATCGACAGCCACTCAAATTGGCAACAAAAAAAAACAAGCTCGATTGCTGTTGTAAATTGACTGTAAATGGTTGACCACAGTTTTCTGATCAAAACGCAGATTGTTGTAGAAATACCATTTACCATTCAGCTCATGCGACACCAAACAGAAAATTGAACCCACATTGCAGCGATCGTCTTTTATTTAAAGATTATTCACACCCTTAAAACCATTGTGATTTGACGCTGCGTTGGACTGCCTTGAAATCCGCCATATGCTAGTTATGCATTTAGTCATTCTTGAGAGATGCAATTGGCATTCGTAAAAAAAAAAAGCATTCCGTTTTTTCCATGCCCTTGTGAAGGTCTCATAGTCCTTGTTTTAAACCAATTCACGCTATGCACACAATATTATTGTCAAAATTGTGTGCACACGACAGATATGTGGTGTAAAAAACTAAAGCCACAGACGGTGGTTAAAAAAAATGATAATTGCCAGAATTTCCAGCATAAAATTCACACTGTTTATTCGATCATACGCCAGTTACTTTTACTTTAAAAAGGAAAGCACCGCAAATATGTATTACATTATATTGTTTGTTGACCAAAAAAAAATTATAAAGCAATGAATGATAATATTGTATTATTTGATACTATGCATTAGAAATAGACAATATATGCTGTAAACCCATATGAGGCGATGTCAAGTCTGCGATGTGTGTGCCACTAAAAGTATAATTAACAGTTTTTTTCTCCAAAAACAATACAAGCATCTACAAATGTTTAGGATCAAATGCATATTTGTGAGTCAATTGTGTTCATATCTGTGGCACTTAAAACCCCATTAAGCATCTGTCAATGATTTCTTACATGAAAAGAATCATCCATATCTTTTTTTACATTTTCTAATCGGAACAAGACAACGTAAATAAACAACATATGCAGGTGGCTGCTTCCAGGAACGTCCATTTGTTGAATTGATTTTCCTTACCAATCTATCCTCTGAATATAATGTTGTGCGCCACATATCACATAAACAACTTCGAACAGTCTGTTGCTAAGAAAAAGTACAGTGAATTATTTTCATCACCTGGCTGCATCCCTGATTAGAAATTTCGCGTTTTCTCTAGAAACCTTTAAAGTGCAATGTCGGCTTGATCGCACAACAGAAAATTGTCTATGTAAAAGTTTTTATAATTAATTCACTAATTGATTTACTGCTAAAGAAATCTATACATGCATGTGCGTGAAGTTAGGACAGACAGTCAAAACTTATAATAGTGTGGAGAAGATGCGATGTTTGTGGGTGCAAAAAATGTGCGCTGTTACCGTAAAACAAATGTAAAACAGATTACTGCCATAGCAAAGCTTTATTTATATTTGTATATATATTATTCGAAAAAGGGGCGTTTAGCTCAGTGGTAGAGCATTCGGCTGCAGTCCGACAGGTCTCCGGTTCAAATCCGGAAACGCCCTTTTTGTTCTATTTTTGAAACTGCTGATTATTTTTATTTGATGCATGTTTTGCTAGAAAATTTCTGGCATTAGTGCTTTTTTCAGAAGTAACCTATTTTTTTTTACTCTATTGGTTCTTAAAAATAAAACAAATAAACATAAATCAAGCACATTGCCAGTCCATGTCTATCAAAAATTCTACTCTATCTAGCTTATTATGTCTGTCATATGCTGATCTTTTGCGCGCCGAGTCAATGTCTTTCAGCACAGCCTGTGTGTGTGTTGTTTGCAATGTCGCAGATTAGATCTGCGATCATTACTAACAATGTTGATTGGGCTTCCCCACAGCCCGATCTCTTTATAATAACATTTAGGACAGGTTCCTTGTGGAAACCGTGTTCTTTCTTTTTATAATAGTTGTTTCTACAAATATACACTTGTAGTCAGTGACTTGTTGAAAGCGGGAATTAAAACGCTAAGGAAATTGACTATACAAACAGAATAGTCTACAGTGTGAAGTAGTGATCTAGCCGATATTCGAACACGTACAATGCTAGTAAGGATATCCACCAACAATAGAAGAAACTCACCTGCCCATCTTGTGCTTGGAAATATAAGTGATGCCAGCCCAAGGTACCTTACACTTGAAGTACAAGTGCTATATTTTTGCTGATAGTTATCCAATATATGATGTGTAGGCATTCCCTTTCCACTCACTCTTGGCAGGTCCTTAAGTGACACATTTGCATTCAAGAGATTTGGGCACGCACATAGAAAGGCAATTAGCTGGTCAATGTTTAGCAGTGAAAAACAGATGTCTAAATACTGTAAAGACTCTGATACACAGAGCTGTGAAATAGCTTTTTTGGCATTGTTAAAGTGCATATGCCAAAAGCAGATTGTTTGAGCAGATCTGCATAGATGAAGTACTTTAAGGAGTAGCATATCTACATCGCATGGTGAATATGCGCAGCTAAACTTAGTTAGGCCTAATGATACTATATGAAATTTAGATTGTATCAGAAAGCAAGAAGGATCTATTCACTACTGCAACTAGATGAAAACCTTTTAGGAAAAACTATAAAGCAATAGTATACTTGAAAGCCTTGAGTTAAACCAAACTGAGTCAGGCAGGGAATCCAAGAGATGGGATTTTATTAGATATATAGTATAGTTTTTTAAAGGCTCCTTCTTCTAGGAGTTTCTTGTTATTTAGTGCCGCCAGTAGATGTCTGTCTAAATCAATCCTAAGGTGAGTGATATGTGATCTACCCTCTGATAGCACAATGGTGGATGCAAATGGAAACCAACCTTCACAGTTTAATATTACTAATGCTGGAAACGGATCAACTAGTGGCTGGTTATTGCTAGGCTATCTTATACCACTAGTGTATATACATAGATGCTTAAGCCATGGATATACATGTGTACCATATGAACTGCTATCATTTATAGTCAATTGAAGAATGGCATTGGGTGCTGCAAAAAATATATGCAGCTGCTCAAGTTTACTAGAATTAAGTTTTATTAATGCCACCTCAGAGGTAGATAGTTGATTATGATTTAAAATAATACTACATAGGTTACCACTTGACAGACTTAAAAGCAGCCTATCTAACGTAGTTATGTTGTCCAAAGCCAAATAGGTTAACTGCGTGTTGAGAATTATATTCAGTCTACTTATTGTTTGCTCTATAATATTTACCAAGTTTTGTGGTAAACCATATATGTGAGGATGATTAGACGCGGAACTCACTTATGATGTCATAGTGGGAAAGGTGTTTACTTTAAACACTTAGCATGTTTATGTTTTCTTTCTAAATGTTTCCTTAGTCTTTTCACGGGGATTGAAATATATTGCCTACTTTATAGTTTATTCTTCTTTACAGCTGTGGGGACAGCATTGTCTGAATCCACTACCTCTGAGCTTGTGGTGGCTGGGTTCTGGGAATCGTGTGCAGTGGTGCGGGATTTGCGCATAGCCGGGTGACAATCAGGGGCCACGCAGCTGCACATGGCAGGATCCATGAACTTGCAGCTTGGGCAGCGGGCCAGTATGCTTCTAGAAAGGATTTTCACCTTAATCTTATCGCGCGTGACCTCAATTGTCTCTAGGATTTCCCCTCCTGGCTACAGGTGCAGAAATCCCTTCCAGTCTCCAATAGTGGCACCACACAGGAGAAGAAAAGGCTCCAGGTGAGACAATCCACCAAAGGGGTGCATTGCAGCAGTTAGGCGGCAAGGGGTAGCAGTGGCTGGTGCGCCTACTATACCAACTGGTACTAGAGTACCCAGTTCCGTTGTCCACGGGAAAGTCTGTTCCTCATGGATGAAGGGTGTTGTGATACTGATTAACTGAATCAGATCATGTAGATATATATATATGTGCACACATATATATATATCACTTTAGCGCCTAAGGTTTTAGAAAGGTTTCCTGAGCTTGTTGGAAGTTTAAAGATTTATATTAGTTCACTAGTAAACCTCATATTATAGGTGTGAAGGTCAGTTTGCGCAGATCATCCAAGTCCTTCAACACCACTCCTATTCTATTTGCGTTATATGAGAAAGTAGCCACTGGATGCTTTGGGTCATCCAGTGCCACTTTTGGTGAGCGGCTAAGTGCCTTCAGCACATGTGCTGAGATGGCTGGGACAATATTGAGAGTTGTCACTGGGAAGTGTAAGAAAACTTCCGGATTGCGCAGAGCCGGATACTCCTCAAGCTCCGCAACAGCGGCTGGATGCAGTCTGCGTGGCTGGGGAGCAGCAGCAGAGGTGCGACCAGGGCGACGCACAACTACATCTGAGTACAAGGGCCTTCTGGGGGCAGCGGAAGCAGTAGTGGTTGCAACGGGAGCAGTAGCAGTGATGATGGCAGTAGCGGCAACAGCAGCGGGGCCAGCAGGGGCCGCAGGGACTACAGTCGACGGCGACGATGGCACCGCAGGGACGGGGGGCGCGGCAGGCGCGCGGGAGCCCTGTGGGGCGGATGACGAGGCGGAGTTTGCCATGGCGATTCTATTTTTTATTTTCCTTTTTCAAAAAATGGCGAAATAGAGCAAAAGGGGGGTCTAGCTCAAATGGTAGAGCGCTCGCTTAGCATGCGAGAGGTACTGGGATCGATACCCAGGTCCTCCAGACTTTTGCTGCTACTGGGATTTTATTAGTGTAGCTCTTTTTTTTTTGTGTGTAGGTTGGTGGGTAAACAAGTAGAGATGTTTTCAGCAGTTTGTAAGACGTAGAGGGAATAGTGATGAGATAAAAGTATTGAAAGCACATATGCTGCGGCAGAAAAATAGCGGCTTTTGAAGAAGTTTCAAATGAAGCTGATTTATTTACAAGCGTTTGGCACAAAGAAAGTTACATGGGTTGGAGGATGTTACGGAAATAGCGGGAGACTAATGATCAGCGTACAACTTTGCCGGTAAGTCTGCGAATATGAACGGAGCCGCGGTGAGTGAGCTCGCGGAAATTAGCCAGAGATTTGCGAGAAGAGGAGTCTTTTGTGGAGGCGCCAGAGTTCTTACGACGTGAGCGAACTAGAGTGGTGGTGCGACGGGAGGAGGAGTCTTCCTCATCAGACTCGAGATCCAGCCACGAGCCCTGGAGGTTGACACGCGATGCAAAGCGCGGAATAGCGTTGGCAACAAATGCGGGGTGATCGGGAGTGGTGGGGGACACAGGCATCTGCGGGAATTCGTTTGCAAACAGACTGGCCTGCGACGACGTGTTACTGCTCAGTGACAGTTGCGGGCGACTCGCGGGCAGAGGCTGTGAGTTAAGTTCTGGTGCCATGTGGTAAGTATGTTTTATCGGGCAGAGATAAACTGGGGAGAGAAGTACTGACTGAAATGCAGAGGCGGTTATCAAAAGTGGTCTTGAGAACAAGAATATTAAATGCTAGTGTGTTTATTGCAGGGACCTGAGTGCTGGCCTGGTTAGTTTCTTATATATAGGAAGAGAGGAGGACAAGAGCGACAGAGGGACAGATGCACTGTGAATACAAAGTCTGCATTGTGATTCGTTCTGTTTTTACCTTGTGTGCGTTCTTGTCTTTCTGCCGATGAAGAGGTTCCCTTTTGGGGAGATCTTCCATGCCACCTTTTTTTTTGCTTGGAAAATGCACTTTGTCGATCAAAACCGAATTTGCAAGCGTTCCTCTTTTCGCCAGATTTCTTGGCCATCTTTTTGCCCTTGCAAATGCTCTTTTTACAACTGTGCGTTGTAGTTGGCTGGAGTTTCTAGCCATTATCTTTTGCAGTTAAAGACGGACGGTTGCACAAGATCCCGGTGGTTACACAGAACTTTGGCGTTTATACTATTAGCTCCGTGCCTTTCTGGCTCAGGCTTTTTTTTTTTTTTGGCCCTGGATGTTGGTCATTCCGATGATTGGCTAAGGAGGTATTTTTTAGCTTACACGGTGCCTAACCTTTCTTTGCCCTGTCTGATTTGCCTTCGGGTCTGATTACCATCGATGAGAGAGGTGTTGTGAGCAAACGCTTCTTATTGGCTGCCAGTCTGTTGGCTCTAAAAAAAAATAACGACACAACATCGCAATAAAAATAAAAGTAGGTGATGTCAACAAGCCTGAAATTACTGAACAAAAATATTCCAAAGTTTTTTTTGTGTTTGATTCTTATTGTAAGGTTTTGTTGATGGCTTGGGCAATATATCCTTTTCTGGATCCTCGCAAGTGCACACTTACGCCTCTCTCTCAGCCCTCAATCACCTCTTCTCTCAGCTCACTCTCACGCGTCTCATAGCGCGCACATGGATAATAGCGATACATACGAGTGGTAACAATATAACCATATTCAGTATAATAGATTGCAAGGTAATCCGTCATCACCATATTACTAACAACCTGACTGTTGATACTATATGATTTGTTTAGCATAAATTAGAATGCACATATTCCAGACACCATTTTTTTTTTTTTTTTAAAAACGCAAAACAAATATATGCTTTAATACTTGGTTCTGTCAATCACTTGAAAATATTAGACATCTGTGAATGGTA